TATAGCCGGGGGGCAAACCGACATGAAATGTCATAAATTCTCTTCGTTGGTTCGACCGTTGTCAGGATAAGGATCCACTCAACAGCTGGCACGCGCGCAGCAACTGTCGGAATTTGAACTCTCAAATTCGTCGCGGCACACAATTTCCTCATTTTTAGGTAGAACACACTGGCGAACTCCTAACTCCTCAGCATGACTAAATTCGTCAGCGACCAGATGAACTTTGTCATCGTCGCTAGCAAATGCGTGAGCTGTACTGGAGATTTCCAAAGGCTTCACTAGAAGCGGCTTTTGTGTATGGGTTTGAGCATCACTTTGGAAATGTGAAATATGTTTCACCTAGACCCCCTTTAACAGTATAGTTTTTCCTATGACTTAAAGAAGAAGAAAAGAAACTATGAAAAACAAAGTCTTTAAGATTTAAAGTCTTCACATCAATTTCTTCAAATGACGTACCAATATCGTCATCAAATTCTTGACTTGAAGAAATTCATTTTAGGGGTCATCTTCCATGTGTTAAACCAAATCTTCTGGGACTTTCTCTCTTGTGTAAACTCACAAACACATTAGTTCTTCAACCTATTTGTCTTTCATACTCCAAAACCACTAAGAGGGCACTTGATGCACTTACAATCTCCCCCTTTTTGGTGATTGATGACAAATTGGTTAGGTTTCAAGGGGAGTAAAAATAATTGAAGTGTAAGTATAGAGTTTGAAGAAATTAGTTACAAGGTATTGAGAAACTCCCCCTGAAGATGTGCATATGAGGAATTTGCTTTGGATTGCAAATGCACATAGCAGGTTCGACTTGTGGAGATCTCCCCCTTTATCTTGGAATCCAATTATGCATGATCATAAGATATTCGAGGAATATGAATGCATGATGAAAATTGGTGTTTGACGAGATTGTGCATGCATGAGAAGACATGATTAAGATCGGAGCATGCCCGTCAAATGAAGCAAAAGAGTCAGATAACCAACAGTTATTAAGTTACAACTCATCAAAGAGCACATCCAGAAAAGTTCAGGAGTTGCAACTTAAGAAAAAACAGCCCATATAAAAATCCGCTTGAATACTAACTCAAACTACTCCCCCTTGTTATCAAATGACCAAAAGGTGAGGAATTTGAGAACTAGTGCCCCCGAAGAAAAACATCGTGGTGAGGTCGAGGGAGCGCCAGCGTTCCTGGGGTCGCGCGATGCAGAGGGACCAGCAGCAGTGTCTTCAACAGCTTCATTTTGTCGGTGGAGCGCGATGAAGACTCGGAGCTCAGCATTAGAGGAGGAACTTGAGTTTTCTTGAACTTCTTCCTTCGCAGTTCAGCCCAGTCAAAGTCCATTTGAAAATGTTCAGCAACAAGTTCTTCAGCTGATTTGAGATGTCAAAATGTGGCCCAACTGCGAGCAAATATCTCATGGAGATACTATATGTCCTTGCGGACGATGTTATGCGTCACTGTCATATTTTCTTGAATAGCAATGAATTGAAGCTTAACCCATCGATGATGTTTGTCAAGTTTCTGGTGAAGGCTAATAAGCAACTCATGGTCAGTAATGACACGTGGCAGTTCTGGTGAAGAATATGGCCTTGAAGCTTTTGCTGCAGTATCTTGGCTTGCAGATTCATCAGCCATGGAGCTGGAAATAGGTTGACGAGATTTTCCATCAAGCGGACGAATTCCTTCATCAATAACATTCTTGCCTTTGCCAGGAACTGTTGACAGTGTGCTTTGAGTAATTTCAACTTCAGGCAAATAACTCAAGTGATTCTGAAGATTAGCCTTGTACTGGAATGAAGACTGCGATCTAATGAATCTCACAATCCATGGTGCATATGGCTTCAATTCAAAAGGAGACAGAGCAACAGTGACCAAAGTCCTGCTACTTCTTGAGCTTGCATTGATTTTTCCCTTGAAGAGGAAAGGGTGATGCAACAAAGTAGAGACAAGTATTTCCCTCAGTTAAGAACCAAGGTATCAATCCAGTAGGAGGAACACACAAGTCCCCAATAGATGCACCTGCACAAACTAACAAACACGTGCATGATGACCCACAAGTATAGGGGATCTATCGTGGTCCTTTCGATAAGTAAGAGTGTCGAACCCAACGAGGAGCAGAAGGAAATGATAAGTGGTTTTCAGTAAGATTTTCTCTGCAAGCACTGAAATAGTAGGTGATAGATAGTTTTGTGATAAGATAAATAGTAACGAGCAAAAAGTAAATAAAGTAAATAAAGTGCAGCAAGGTGGCCCAATCCTTTATGTAGCAAAGGCTAAGCCTGGACAAATTCTAATAATGAAGAAGGAGCTCCCGAGGACACATTGGGAATTATCGTCAAGCTAGTTTTCATCACGTTCATAAGATTCATGTTCGGTACTTTGATAATTTGATATGTGGGTGGACCGGCACTTGGGTACTGCCCTAACATGGACAAGCATCCCACTTATGATTAACCCCTATTGCAAGCATCCGCAACTACAAAAAGGAGTATTAAAGGAAACCTAACCACATCATTAAACATATGGGTCCATATTAACCCCTAACGAAGCAACGCATAAACTAGGGTTTAAGCTTCTGTCACTCTAGCAACCCATCATCTACTTATTACTTCTCTATGCCTTCCTCTAGGCCCAAATAATGGTGAAGTGTCATGTAGTCGACGTTCACATAACACCACTAGAGGAAAACAACATACATCTCATCAAAATATCGAACGAATACCAAATTCACATGACTACTAATAGCAAGACTTCACCCATGTCCTCAGGAACAAACGTAACTACTCACAAAGCATATTCATGTTCATAATCAGAGGAGTAATAATATGCATAAAGGATCTGAACATATGATCTTCCACCAAGTAAACCAATTAGCATCAACTACAAAGAGTAATCAACACTACTAGCAACCCACAGGTACCAATTTGTGGTTTTGATACAAGATTGGATACAAGAGATGAACTAGGGTTTTGAGAGGAGATGGTGCTGGTGAAGATGTTGATGGAGATTGACCCCCCCCCCCCAATGAGAGGATCATTGGTGATGACGTTGGTGATGATTTCCCCCTCCCGGAGGGAAGTGTCCCCGGCAGAACAGCTCTGCCAGAGCCCTAGATTGATTCCGCCAAGGTTCCGCTTCGTGGCGGCAATGTTTCGTCCCGTAAGCTTGCCCATGATTTTTTCCAGGGTAAAAGTGATGATATAGAAGAAGATGGACGCCGGAGGCCCACTAGGGGGCCCAGGAGATAGGGGGCCGCGCCCTACAGGGGGGCGCCCTCCTGTCTCCTGGACAGGGTGTGGGCCCCCTGGCCTATTTCTTTCGCTCGTAAATTCTTATTAAATCCAAAAGGTTGTTTCGTGGAGTTTCAGGACTTTTGGAGTTGTGCAGAATAGGTTTCCAACGTTTGCTCCTTTTCCAGCCAGAATTCCAGCTGCCGGCATTCGCCCTCTTCATGGTAAACCTTGTAAAATAAGAGAGAATAGCCATAAGTATTGAGACATAATGTGTAATAACAACCCATAATGCAATAAATATTGATATAA